CTACCCCTGTGACAACTCGACGATCGGACTGATGAGGGAGAACATAACGATGGTGGTTAATATCAGTATGAGAAGCACTGAAACAAGTGGCGCAAAAGACGGGCAAACACAATTTCCGGGAATATTTGAAAATGAAGGCAAAGTGGAATATTTGAGAATGATGGGTAAAATGGTCTTTTTCATTTTTTTTTCTAGATGTTACGTTAAGAGGATTTAGTTAATTGTTTGAAAACTTAGGGGTATTTTAAGTCAATTTCTACACAGTAGGGGTGAAGTTAATTAATTAACTAAATCATAGGGGTACTTTAAAAATTTACCCAAAAATTAATTGGGAGAAGTACGAATCAGCCCAGCTCAGAATTTACTAGGCTGAAAGTACAGGGGGAATGCATCCCGACCGTGAATTGATGCCAAATTCACGAGCAGGATGTGGTTTATAGGGGGGACAGGGCTAGTTGTAGGGGGGGCTAGAATTCAGAATTCTGCATCATGTGTTTCCGTACTTTTCCCAAATTAATTCAATAAGAATTCTAAATGGCTCCGAATTCGGTGCATCCCACTTGACCCCCACAACACATCTTAGCGTGCATTGGAAGTTCCCAATGGATTGAGTTTAAATTGGTGCCCCACAAGCACCCCACATTCACATCTCAATATGTATTGGGAACATCTCCTATTCTGGTCATGGGGAGATATTCTGAATACACAGTTGAGATGTACTATGGGACAAATTCCTATTGGGGCCACATCCTAGTTGTTTGTATTTACCACGTGGATGTCATATCCGTTGAGCTCAACTGACGAGTTTGGTCACGTTAACAACACTAAGTATCAAGTAGGCGAATAGGCTGCCTCACGAAGACCTCTCTCGGGAAGCAATGCGCGAGACATGGAACATATCCCATTGAATTACGACACATTGCTATTTAAAGGTATTTGACCCCAAGGTTAGGCATCTTTTACCTCTTTCTAAGGTTCAAAGTATAGGAAATGCCAAGTGTATGAGAAAGGCAATTTTAAGAAACGTATCGAGATACGCCTTGGATATGCATGTGTATCGGAGAAAAACTAAGATACACATAGATACGCTTGGAAACACTATAAACACTTTAATAAATCATAAAAGTACATCAGTAACACTAAATATAAGACCTCAATGAGGTGTATATACATTAAATTAATTTATTTTAATTGTTTTATGAAGAAATATATTATACTCAATTATAATTTCATTAAAAATCTTATGCTTAACTATAATTTATAAATTATAATTCTTAAGTTTTAATGTTTTATGGGATGGGAAAAACCCAACTCTCCTATCCAACCATAAAACATGCATTGGCACAACTTCTAAGTGAAAATATAATCAATAATTATTTCCAAAAATTATAAAAAATAAATAAGCATTGTATAATATATTCAAAAAATAGTTATTAAAGAATAAATTTCAATT